TGATACGTTTCTGTATCCCCCATTTTACACCAGAATTCTTAATGGCTAGGGGCACCTTGGTAGTGATAACAGGGTGGAAAAAGAAAGCAGAGAGAGCCCAAACAATAACCAGTCTTACCACTAGAAGATTCCCTAGGGGAAAGGATGTCAACATGTAAGATTTATTTTAAAGAATAAAGAGAAGGCTTAATTAACAGGAAGGAAGAAGTGTGAAACCTACATCTTGATTCTGAGAATGTAAGAGAAGAGTCATTGACTAGGTGTTGAACTTGGCAGGTACCTTATGCAAATGGTAGCCATCATGGCTTTAGTACTGATACATCGAAGCAACCCCTACATGTTAAAATCCAACAGGTTCCCCACAACAGTCTATCAATTATAACAAGGCTCTCCAGAACAATTCTCCCTATATGTGCCGAACATACAGTAAATAGTTGCCTACTCTTCACTGGTTGGTCCCTTAACAGGTAAGATAAGCATTGTCGTTTGTATTGAAATACAGTTCTGACCAGAAAAGATTTCTGTTCTCTAACAATTTTTCTATTCATCGCCTACTTTATTATCTTTTATTAAATAAACTCTGCTTTTTTTCAGCAGTATTAATGCATGAATCTGATGTATCCCTGGGCAAAGTAGAAGATACAGCACCATTCTCTCTGACGGCTCACTGTGGGGAGGGAACCTGTTGCACACATCATTCCTCACCTTGGTCCTGAACAAAGCCTTCCTCTCTTTCATTTCATCATTAGAAGGTGGGTTACTTTCTTCTCAAAACCGCTGAGTTTTAAGACTGAAGGCAGCTGAGTGGAGGATGTGGGTCTCATTAAGCATTACAAAGAGCTAGGCTCACCTTGAGTCTCAGAGTACAATTTATCATCTGTTTCATGAATCAAGGCTATAGTCTGCTTTACTACAGAAGTAATAGCATCAGAATGGACAACATATTACTTAAAAATTTTAGGTTATGCTGGGCACAAGGTGTTTGTGAGACAAACTCTTTAATAAAAATATCTGACAGGCTCTTCTATTAGAATGACTGCTTATGGCTATCCACATCTAATATTGGCTGTAGAGAACATTAAAATGTCTTTCGCCAATTTTAGAGGGATGGGCTGCAAGAGAAGATAGATTACTTCAGATTCTTTAAAAAGTCTTTTCACTGATACACAAACAAATGTCAGGCATAAAAAAAATGCCGAGCTATATATAAATTCAAATGTATTAGTGTTGAATCGGTTCAATCACACAATAGCATATTTATGACAGAATGAATTAAAAAATAATAAATATATCTTTTTTATACATTAGAGCATTGAAGCCTTTATCTTTTGTAAATATCTTAATACTGGGAATAGACATAGATTTAGGTTATTAATATCTTTTAACACATTTGTAAAGACACTATTTTTTCTTTATATAAAAACATATTTTCATTTTTTAATGGGAAACAAATTCACCTCAGTACGTTTGTGTGTATATATATAGCATATATATTATGTATATAATATGTACGTATATTATTCCAATGTTTTAAAATATTGGCAAAGTAATGGGGATTCACTTTCTCCAAAGTTAATTTCTTTTCATGACTATATAATCGTAACACCAATAATCACTAATAAGGAATATCCTACTTTGAGCACGGTGGTGATGAACAGCTGATATTTTCTTTTTCTAATTGTTCCCTGCTAAGATAGAGATCACTTTAAAATGGGCAAAAAACTGACAGGAAGGATTACCAAGTGTATTCACACATCCCCCCCACCCTAGGACAAGAGGTCCCTGTACTCTGCAAACTCTAACAGTAACCTCCATCCAGAATACTACCAAGATTCTGGTCCTTTGCTCTCACTGGTCCTTTGCTTTATCAGGTTCCCTGGAATCTTCGGTGAAACACTTAAAGCATCAGTTATTATGGTTATCTGGTATTGTTTTTTTAAGAAACAAAGAATTATCAAAAAATGTAAAACAAAAGTAGTAAGGTTAGAAAGTTCCCTTTTGTACTCTGTCTAAAATGATCATCACTCTCTGAGAATGCCCCTGGTTATTCAGAGTAAATAGACTTCTTGTTTATTCACAAGGGTGAATACTTTGTTCCCTGAGCAACTGCAATGGAACACTCATTTATAAAGTACAGCCGACTGGAAAAGGCTGGGTATGGGGTATAAGTAGTTAACTTCTTTCTTAAATGCTCCTGGTACTGACAATGATGGGTATACAAACCTCTTCTGATTCCGGATCAGCCAGCATTTTTTACTACATATCAAGTGAATTCTAACAGTGAACAGTAAAAGCATCAATAATGTGTGAGTCCCCACCGTATGATATAATAGCTAACCTCCTGGAGGTATTAATTACATCCCTATTGCTACTTCCCTGTGATCTGAATCCATTTCTTTTTTTCACATAGAAAATTTACTTTACAACTCTCTGCATTAGGTCCACTTTGTTGCCCTAAAGCAATATCCTGGTTGAGAATAGACTGGAGGATTCACACAGGAGGCTGCCAACCTATAAAGAACACAGACTGTGAAATTTGGTTCTAAAAATAAAGATCAATATGGTCTAAAGACATGTTTAGCTAATGAAAAGGATCTTTGCTTCAATTCAGAAAAGTGATAATTTTCTCATAAATCATACAGAGACAATAAAACACCAGGGCATTCAGTCAAACCACACAGCATGACTGGGTTTGTAACCATTGCTTTTTGCTACTGGGATCCTCTGGTACTCACCTTCATCCACTCCAAAACTATCTCCTGCAATCTTGAATATAAAGAAAATGACAAAATGACAACATTTTCCCCAAAAATTATTCTTCTGAAAAAAGGGTTTTGCCTTGTTTTCTGGTCTTTCCAAATATTCTCATATTTTTTTCAGATTCCTCTCCTATTCACTTTATTTTAATAGCCAAAATACTGCTTGGAAAAGTGACATTGGCCTGAAACACCTTCGTAAACACTAGTTTTGGGGGCTGTAGTCAGGATAGGTAAAATAAAGGTTTTAAAAAATTTTTTCCACATACAGATGTAGTTCTAAACAAGACTTAAAAACTTCTAATTAGAAACTTCTAATGCATTGCAATTAGTTCCCAGAGATCCCCAAACATACAACTACAAATAGAATTTTTGAAAATATTGTTTGAAGGCATGAATGAGTTCTTGTGTTTGAGACAACATTTCCTGAGACAGCAACAATCATAGATTCAAAAAGTACTGTATCAAAACATTCAGATGGAAGTAAAAATAACTGGCTCTGGAAAACTGGTAAACTCTAAATGTCCTGTGCTGATAACAAAACTCCGAAGGCCAAAGGCACATGGGAAAGGAGTGAATTAAGTATTTTCGTAAATTATAAGTTTTAAAAGAAAGGAACATTTCTAACTCAATATGAGACTCTCAACATTTGCAACTAAATTAATGAATGTTAGAAGTAGTCATCCGAGTATTTCATCTACAACCCCCCAAATTCATTTATTCATACTGGCCCAAATACCATTTTTGGATCTTCTCCCTCGGTATTTCCGTAAGAACATCATCATCCTATTTCTCGTGGTTTATACAGTAGTGATTTCTATTGGTTCATTTTTTGAGGGAGGGTGAAGAGAACTCCTTTAAAAAAATAAGTTTATATCCCCCATCATTTTTTTCCATCATTTTTTGTAATAGAAAGTGCTTAAAATTAAAATTCTCTTTTCCAAAGTTTGATCTTCCTCATCCTCAAGCTGGAAAGTTCAGAAGCTACTATAACTTCCTGTCTTGAAAAGAGTAGACCACATTCTAAAAATAGGACACGAAGTAAGTCTTACAATACCTCGCCCATGCATAAAATCTGTACATTCTTTTTTGTATACCTGGTATTCTTTGTATTTATCAATTTGCTTGAAAATAGCATTTGTCCCATAGGTGTCTCCACTGTTAGTATAATGGGTTAATTTGGCAATAAGAGGAGAGTCACCCTCCGATCAGACATTGGAATGCCTGTATTACTTTCCTCACAGTCAAGCATAACTCAGCACAAAGCATGTCTGTTCTCGCCTCTTTTTTTTTTTTTTTAATGATTTTATTTATTTATTTGAGACAGAGAGAATGAGAGACAGAGAGCATGAGAGGGAGGAGGGTCAGAGGGAGAAGCAGACTCCCCGCCGAGCAGGGAGTCCGATGCGGGACTCGATCCCGGGACTCCAGGATCATGACCCTGAGCCAAAGGCAGTCGCTTAACCAACTGAGCCACCCAGGCGCCCTGTTCTCGCCTCTGTCTTAAAAGTTCAAGTTAGTGAAGTATCAAGAGAAACTCTGTGTAAGACCATGTCAATTGCAAAGTGGTTCCATGGCCAAGACTCTGGTTATTGTTTCAGACCAGTACCAGCTAGATGGGCTTTCATGCTTAAATTTATGAATATCCACAACCTCTTACATGGCGAAGAATGAAAAGCTCACAGCACAGAGCACCGCCAAGGAGTGAAGGCAGGAGGTCCAACCTGTCTTTTGAGGTACTATGGTAAATTTTCTCAGAAAATTAATTTAACAAATAAAGAATTCGTGGCACTAATAATCCACAAATATATCTCAAAGTCAACTTGACTAGTACATTATCTAATCATAGTAAAATTATTTGAAAAAATAATTTTGTGAAAAACGTTAAGTGAAAAAACTGTTGACTGCATCTTTTTTCTTCTTCTATCACTCTATTTGAAAGAGCATGATTGCTTGTAGAGGCTTCCACTTACTAAAACATTTTTTTTTTTTTTTTTTTAATGAGAGAGACAGAGAGCACATGAGAGGGGGGAGGGTCAGAGGGAGAAGCAGGCTCCCCGCCGAGCAGGGAGCCCGATGCGGGACTCGATCCAGGGACTCCAGGATCATGACCTGAGCCGAAGGCAGCTGCTTAACCAACTGAGCCACCCAGGCACCCCACTTACTAAAACATTTTGCTTTGCCATCAGATCATTTCAAAACAGGAAATAAGTAAAAAGGAAAATGAATTAAAGATGTTTATACCTGAGAAATCTGCTGCTAAGAGATCTACTGCCTTTAAAACCTTCACTTGTAAAATGCCGATGTCTTTCATATCTTTCAGGGAATTCTGTAAGCACTGAGGGGGAGAAAAGTAGATCATACATGAAAATAGCTTTCTAATATACTACTTAATGCCATAAAGTCCTGTAGGAAGTACATTCTAGATTTATCATCACCTTTCTCGTGCAAAGTTTAGTAAAGTTCCAGAGTACATTATATCAGCCAATGGGAAAGTTAGGCATTCACAACAACCAGATTAAAAGTGACTGAGAATTAACTACAGCTTCAAAATAAGCCAATTACAAAGCACACAGAATCTACTTTTAACACTGCCCCCTGGTGATAGAACAGATATCCCATGGGGAAAACGTGTGTGGAGCTCCATTCATTCTCTTTTCCCCTTTCTTTCTCTTGAATGAAACTTTTAAATCACTCAAAAAGGCCACACTATTTTGACCTCATTAGTACAAACTTTAGGGATACCAGAGGGCTCAACTTGGACCCTTCACAGATACTTATTACCACTGGAAAGAGCGTTAAGGATGGAAATACAGTGCATTTTCTGGTCCACGTTTTAGCCAGCTCATTAGAGACTGAGCATCTAGTATCACCCTGTATTCACATTTATTTGATTTTTTTTAGTTTGCATGAGCCAATGCTTGAATGTATCTACTGATAATTCTTAAGCATGTAGAACGATAGTTTGCTGTGTATATACATTGCATCCTTCAGAAATGGTGCATGAAAGAGACAAGCAGATAAACTATTTCTGCATGCCTCCAGAACACATCTGCTGAAAAGATTCTGCTTTCAAACTTTTGGATATCATATTTCCGCTATCATTGGATAACTAAAAACCTGTGATAAGTAGGCCTTGGGGATTTATGGAGAGACAGTAAAATCCTTGCTCTTTAGGCATTTCAGGATACAATAATAATAACTTAATAATAGTTCAGGTTTAACTAACTTCATATGCACCATTTCTAGGCAGTTTTGAAAGTTGTTTCTGCTGTGTATTTTCAACCTAACAGAGCAAAGCAAAACAAAAACAAAAAACTAGTTTACACTAATCTGAAAACATCTGAAATAAAACACTTTTATAGTTTAAATGTGGACATGCCTTCAAGATGATCTATTCTTACAAGCTAAAAAACAAGAGGTCTGAAACTTGTGTTTTATGATGGGGCATTCTTTCCCTCTAAGATGCTGGCCAGCTCTCTAGCTGAAAAAACAAAACAAAATACTTGATATTTCTATTTTGATTGGCTTCTTCAAACCTATTTTCCCTGACTACTCCTCACATCCTGAAGCATGATTCAAAGCAGTCATTATGATCTTATCTAAAATCACCTTATAAATATAGGACACCCCTCGTGAATTTGTAAATTTTTCAATTCGTCCATGGGAAAATTTGGGGAGAAATTTTAAGGTTGATCATCAAATTTTTATTTGCTTAACTCCAGTCATCAGAGAGACTAATAATAGTGGATTTTGTAGAAACTCCTTTGGGGCACGCCAACCGGGCCATGCAGAGTTCGTGTTGACAATAAGACGTGTGTCTAGGTTTTTGTACTCCCGCAGATAAAGAATTATTCAATTAATCAATACGCCTCACAGTGAAAGATTTGGGAGGCACTAAAGTTTATGCTGAGAATAATATTCCCATTAAATAGGGATTCATCTTTGCTTCATTTTCGGGCCGCTTTCTAAAACATGCCTTTCGTGTGTGGCCATAAAATAAACGTATTGATTTACAAAGAAGGTGGATAAAAACAGAATGCAAATAAGGGCACCTAGAAAGACAGAGTACAAAAAATAAATGAAGATCGCAAAGCCATTTGATATAAAAATGCTGAGTGGACTCTTAAGCGCATTGCACTACTTAGGCAAAAATCAGGAACTGCCTTTATTATCCAGAGTAGTACGTAACAGCTTTGCATAGCTGTCCAGGGTTTTGCTTTGCTTTGCTTTACAAGACAGAAGCACGTTCTCACTTAGGCCTGAGAGGTTCTGGAAAGGTAGCTCTAACATTTCAAATATTATGGCTAATAAAGAAATAAACTTTTGTGAACTTGTATTAAAATTCCAATATACATATGCAGACATGCTAAACAAGTCTGCCTCCTCGTGGATTTCCATTTTCTCCAAAGAGTTTCTGAAAGCTAAAAATTCAAAATACCATTTTGGGCTTTGAAAATCGCCAGCTCTATCCAATCTACTTTCACCTTCTCGTTAATGCATTAACCTCTGGATCCAATGTCTTGTTTTATGAGACATGCCATGAAACTTTGGACAGGATCTCTTTTCAGGCAGGTTTTTTTTTTTTTAATCTTTTAATTCACAGACTTTGTTTCAACTCAAAAGTGGAGGTGGCGGTGGGCAGCAAAACAAGGCCAAGCACTCACATATCGCTGGGCAATCTGCTTTCTTTCGCCGGGGTCTGCCAAGGGGCACACGCAGAGATCTGAGACCGAGACTCTGGCACAGGGAGTAAGTGTGATCAACATCAGGAGAGCCCCCAGGCAGCTCTCCAGAGGCAGTTCCAAGCGGTTGGCTTGCTTGAGCGGCAGGGCCGCGATATCCACTTTGCACCTGGGAAAGTTGGAGGAATCAGAGAAACAGAAGGGATTAACTCATGGCCACTCCTGAACCTCCAAAGCACCTGATTTGTATCTCCTCATCCCCCCAAACCTCACTCTGTCTCAGCATGGGTTTCTCGCACAACGAAGGTGGTGGGGGCTCCCCCGCCCCGGCACCCAGCTCTTAATTCTCCCTCCCAGCCTAACACACTCTAAGATTAAGGAGACAAAGAGGTAAAGAAACCGAAGAGAAGGCAGCACGGAGGGGATGGTAAGTGCAAAGAGAAGAGTCGGCTCTTTGCCCCTGTGACGTCTGCAGAAAGGCGGTGAGCTCAAGAAATAGGAAGAAAAAAGTTCCAAGTTCAAGCATTATGGATGAGGGATCTGTACGGCTTCTCTGTATTGTGTCTTTTGCCAACAAAGAGAATAAAGGGTCACAGTTCAAAAAGGGGAGAAAAGACAAGAGAAATTCAAGTGGCAAAAGGTTCATTGGAGAAACTATTTTCTTCCAGATTAATGCCAACTGGTGAGTTTTTATTTAAAGCAACGTATTAAGGTGTTTTCCTAATAGGCACGGTGCCACAGGGTTTCCCCAGGTGGATTGCTTCTGGACAAATGGAGCATGAAGTGCTGTTGATTGATCCCATTTCAGCAACACTGCCAGGAAAAGGCTTCACCCATCTGGTATAAATTGCATGTTTTCCGTCTCTTAACAGCCAATGTTCTGGCGATGTTGAAAACCTCAAACACATTTATATACAGAAACAAACACCAAAAAGGAGGGCTGAGGTGCTAAGCCATTGATTTGCTTTAACACTGAAAACTCTGGGTTTGCCTGGACCACACCTGCTTTGTTTATGCACAGGTGGGCGGAAAAGGTAGGGTTGGTCGAGGGAGGGAGAGTAGGTAGTGGTTGTTCCCAGCTGTGATACGTGTGTGTGCCTGTGTGTGTAATTCCCATTTTCCCTCCATTGTTATTGAACGAGATGAATATTCAAGACTTTATAAAGGGAGAACTGCCTCTCACAATGTCGGATGAGGATGGATTCTCACCCTAAATCTTCATTGGACTTTGTATGTTTGCAGATATTTAAAAATAGGTAATTTTACCTAACATATGCAACAAGGACAATTTTGAGCCACGTGGTATCTAATGAGTTCCAGTTTAATACATTTGAAACCTTGCAATCCCTTCCCAATTAAAGAGAAAAACTATCCATAATATCAAGAATCTATACCAGTTTTTACTACAGAATAAAATATATTTTAATATTGATATGTACCTATAAAATTAAATGTGTGTTTATTTCCTAATTACCAAAAGTGATTCCAGTTATAAGAGGTGGCAAATTAGAGCTTTTGCATGTAATTAATTCATCAAGAATTTCTACCAGAGACACATCACAAAAAATATAATTTTTTAAATAATCCTCTCTGCTTTGAATCAAAACATTTTTTGTGTGTATAGCAATAAAGAACCTTTTAAAGTTTGCTACCATGAAAATAGGGGTTACTAAATACTTTTTTTTTTATTTCATGAGCATGTATGTAAGTAAGGAATTAATTTTGCTTGGAAAGAAAGAAATGTCACATGCTTTAAGCCAATTCTACAAAACTAAATACCCACAAATTCTTACCCAATATAGCAATAGCACATCTGCTTAGGAACCCACTTTGCTAAGCATTATTTTACATCGTTATATACACCTTCATTGAACAAAGCTCTTTCTTACAGAAAGATAAGTGATCCAAATTTGTAAGAATTTTTTTCTGGTGGTCACTTTCATTAGTCCAAATGAGCAATAACCTGTTTATGGCAAAACCACCTTAATATCATTAGTAATGACAATTTATTTTCATCCTTTGAGTTCCACCTTTCTGTTGTAGTGGTGGTTTTAACAACCAGAAGTTACTTGGAGATAAGAGACAAATAACGTTTGGGAGTTGAAAATGATGCACACGGTAAATTTCTCTTGGATAATTCAAAATGAACCTTATGTTAATTCTAAAAAGTCATCTAAAAAGACTGTGAGCAATATTAGCATTTTTACAATAACTATGCACACACTCTCCCAGTGCCTGTTTCAAGGCACAACTCGTCAGAATAGAGCAGTTGATTCTTTTAAACAAAAGTTGAATCACGTACCAGACAAAATGCAAAGTGAACACTGGGTTTTGTCTTAGAAATTACACATTTCCACAAACTTTTTCGTCATGTCTCTCTCCTATGAAACTTTTGCACCTATCCCATTTCTAAAGACTATTAGGATGGAAGAAAGAACACCTGCATGAAAACAGCCCTGCCTATTTTAGATAAAACAATCTCCACAAACAATAGATTGGGGATTTCTGCACGAACCTAATGGATTCTATATGCTGTTAACTAATGAGTGGATCCAGTCAAATATTTTTACTTCCATAGTGACTTGAAAGAACAAATCAAACTGAAAGATTGCCATCATGTCAATCATAATTAAACGTTGATCCTTTTGCACGTGGGTTATGACCCAGGCTCCTAGGGTACCTGCCCCATTATGGGAATTGATATCTTAAGAATTAAGGATTAATTTACAGCTACCCTCTCCCTAGTGTGAACAACCAGCTCTCCTCTAAAGATGGCATTTTTTTTGTTCTGTTTTGTTTTTTGTTTTTTTTGTAGGCTTCCTACAGAATGTGGGGCTTGAACCTACAACCCTGAGATCAATGGTCACGTGCTCTACCAACTAAGCCAGACAGGCACCCCCTCTAAAGATGACTTTCTATAAACTTTCTACAACTGAATTACCCTCTGCTTCTCACCTACCCACCTGGCTTCCACATTTACTCCCACACTCTGGAAGAAAGGAGGAAAGCTGGAAGTAAGAAGAAATGAATTCCATACAAGAACCTCCCCTCCGGGCCTCCCATTTTACCCTATTTTAATCTCAGTCCACATTGTTCTAGCTCATCCTCATGTCTGAAGGAAAACCAGAAGCTCTGGAGGTTAGCCAGAGGCTGGAAGAATTATTTATATTAACTCCAAGCTAGGAAGAGGTACTGCGTTATCGGCAAACGCAGAAGAAATAAAGAGGATTTGTCTCATGCAAACTGGTGCAGCCACTGTGGAAAACAGTGTGAAGGTTCCTCAAAAAGGTAAAAATAGAACTACCTTATGATCCAGCAATTGCACTACTGAGTATTTACCCAAAGAATACAAGAACACTAATTCAAAGGGATACATGCACCCCTGTGTTTAGAGCAGCATTATTTACAATAGCCAAGATATGGAAGCAGCCCAAGCGTCCACTGATTGATGAATAGAAAAAGATGATGTGGTATATATATGCAATGGAATATTAGCCATAAAGAATGAAATCTCGCCATTTGCAATGGCATGGATGTTGCTACACAGTATAATGTTAAGTGAAAGAATTCAGTCAGAGAAAGACAAATATACGATTTCACTCATATGTGGAATTTAAGAAACAAAACAACCAACCAAAGGAAAAAAGAGTGACAAACCAAGAAACAGACTCTCAACTGTAGAGAACACACTGCTGGTCACCAGAGGGGAGGTGAGTGGGGGGATGGGGGAAACAGGTGATGGGGATGAAGGAGTGCACTTGTGATGAGCACAGGGTGATGTATGGAAGTGTTGAATCACTATATTTTACACCTGACACAACTATAACACTATGTCAACTCACTGGAATTAAAATAAAAACTTAGAAAAATAAAAATAAAAAATACAAAGGATTTGTCTTTCAGAATTTCTGATGTTATCACCATAATACTCACTGAACCTCCTGAAGAAAGGTAAGTATTGTGTGAACAAAATATCCTTTTTTGAGGTTCAAGATAAGTACTCTAAAGTCTAAAATCTTTATGATATAAGAGATAATCTGAAATACATCCATTGAAGACATTTTTAATACAAAAATTTGGAAAGGAGAATTTAGGTTGTGTCTTCCATTTTCTAAAGGGTATCAAATTCCGCCCTGAGAAAATACTAAATGATTTAGTTGGTCTCTTAATTCTCTCTTGGTGGTACTGACTCACTACAGAATTGGTTGTTCTTTCCCCAGGCTTTATCTGTTTAGTTACTTGTTATGGGCGGAGTGCAGGATGAGCCTCTGAGAACACTAGGAGAACAGATTCAGCCCAGGTTCGGGGGCAAATTAAAACACCACCTACTCCTTCCTTCTTTCTCATTCCAATAAACACCACGGACTCACTGTCTAATTCCATAATTTTACAAGTGGTGTTATGTATTTGTTTTCCTTCCATTTTGCATCCTCTAAATTTCTTCCCAAACTCTACACAAATGGCAGCCTTTTAGAAGCATTTATGAAAGCTGAGCTTACTAGTGTATATGCAAATTTTCATTGAAAAATAATACAGCAATAGCTATATTTTATCAGTTTTAAGGTATATGGTCTAAACGGCTCTCATCATGAATTTTTCAATTATCACATCAATTAATAAATAAATAATAGGTACTTAAACTATTTTTTTCTACAAAGGGCCATAAAGCAATTTAAAGTTGATGGGTCATGTGGTCTCTGTTGAAACTACTCAAGTCCCCTTGTATCATGAAAGCAGTAATAGACAACGTAAACAAACAAACAAGGCTGTTATCCAATAAAACTTTATTCAAAAACAGGCAGCCATCTGGATTTGGCCCATGGGCCCTAGTTTGCTGACCCCTGATCTGGAGACATGTTAATAATTTGGCTGTGGCGAATTACATCCATGTTAGCATCTTAAAAATTTACAAGGTTGGTTGCTGACAATACAAACACATTGACAAAAGCATCAGGGAAATTGACCTAAAAATAATTTTGAAAGCATAACCTTTTAATTCTTTTTTATTTAAGAAATCCCTAGACCCCACATGGGACTTGAACTCACGACCCCAAGATCAAGAGTCACATGCTCTTCCAACTGAGCCAGCCAGGCGCCCCTGAAGCATAGCTTTTAACTCCCCATAGCCCAAGAAACTCTGGCCAACATATCCAATGATGCACTGAATAA